CTTTTAGATTTGCTGATTGTTTCTTTTGCTGTGCAGATGCTTTTTATCTTGATGAGGTCCCAATAGTTCATTTTTTCTTTTATTTCCCTTGCCTCTGGATATGTGTTGAGTAAGAAGTTGCTGCAGCCGAGGTCAAGGAGGTGTTTCCCTGCTTTCTCTTCGAGGATTTTGATGGTCTCCTGTCTTATACTTAGGTCTTTCATCCATTTGAGTTTATTTTTGTGTATGGTATAAGTAAATGATCCAGGTTCATTTTTCTGCATGTTGCTGTCCAGTTTTCCCAGCATAATTGCTGAAGAGACTGTCTTTATTCCATTGGATTTTCTTTCCTGCTTTGTCAATGATTAAATGGCCATATATTTGTGAGTCCATTTCTGGGTTCTCTATTCCATTGATCTGAGTGTCTGGTTTTGTGCGATTTCCATACTGTCTTGATGATTACAGCTTTGTAATACAGCTTGAAGTCCAGAATTGTGATGCCTCCAGATTTGGTTTTCTTTTTCAGGATATCTTTGGCTATTTGGGGTCTTTTATCATTCCATACAAATTTTAGGATTGTTTATTCTAACGCTATGAAGAATGCTGGTGTTATTTTGATAAGCATTGTATTGAATATGTAGATTGCTTTGGGTAGTATTGACATTTTAATAATATGTGTTCTTGCAATCCAGGAGCAAGGAATATTTTTCCATTTTTTTGTGTCTTCAATTTCTTTCATAAGCTTCCTATAGTTTTCAGTGTATAGATTTTTCACCTCTTTGGTTAGATTTATTCCTAGGTATTTTATGGTTTTTGATCCAACTGTAAATGGGATCGATTCCTTGATTTCTCTTTCTGTTGCTTCATTGTTGGTGTATAGGAATGCAACTGATTTCTGTGCGTTGATTTTATATCCTGCAACTTTGCTGAATTCATGGATCAGTTCTAGCAGTTTTTTGGTGGAATCTTTTGTGTTTTCCATATAAAGTATCATGTCATCTGCGAAGAGTGAAAAGTTTGACTTCCTCGTTGTCAATTTGGATGCCTTTTACTCCTTTGTGTTGTCTGATTGCTGAGGCTAAGACTTTTAATACTATATTGAGTAACAGTGGCGAGAGTGGACATCCCTGTCATGTTCCTGACCTTAGGGGTAAGCTCTCAGTTTTTCCCCATTAAGGATGATATCACGTATGGCTTTTTATGATCTTGAGGTACGATCCTCTTATCCCTACATTCTTGACGGTTTTTATCAAGAAATGATGCTGTATTTTGTCAAATGCTTTCTCTGCATCTATCGAGAGGATCATGTGGTTCTTGTCCTTTCTTTTACTAACGTGATATATCACATTGATTGTTTTGCAGATATTGAACCAGCCCTGCATCCTGCGTATATATCCCACTTGGTCGTGGTGAACAATTCTTTTAATGTATTGTATCTGGTTGGTCAGTTTCCTGTTGAGTAATTTCACATCGGTGTTCATCAGGGAAATTGGTCTGGAGTTCTCCTTTTTTCGTGGGGTCTTGGTCTGGTTTTGAAATCAAGGTAATACTGACTTCCTAGAATGAGTTTGGAAGCTTTCCTTCCATTTCTAATTTTTGGAACAGCTTCAAAAGAATAGGTGTTAACTCTTCTTTAAATGTTTGGTAGAATTCCCTTGGAAAGTTACCCAGCCCTGGACTCTTGGGTTTTTTTTGGGAGATTTTTGATTACTAATTCTATTTCTTTACTGGTTATAGGAGATTTCTTTTGTAAGAAGTGATTTTAGATTAAATCCCAGGCATTTGGGGTTTAGGTTATTAAATTCTGGATCTTATTTAAGTCTTTTTTAGGCACCTCCTCTGACAGTGCACCACTGAAGGAAAGGGAATAATGCATTGCTTACTTACTGCCAGGTAGGGCTGGAAGCCCAGGATTCCCCTATCTCTATTCACACACTGGGCGAAGAGGAGCACCTCATTGCCGGTGGACTGGCAGGGAGTCTGTGTTCTTCTGATCCCACCTTGTCCGAGAGGGAGAGGGATGCCTTATTACTGCTCCTCACATGGCCTTCATCAACATGAAGTGGGGAGCTCATTACCACCAGGCAGAGTACCACTTACTCTTCTCTTATCCCACGTCAGCCAGAAGGGGTGAGCACCACATTCCACATAGATTAGGTCAGAGTCCAGGCTCCCCACTTGGCCTTTGCTGATGAAAGTGGGGCTGCAGTCTTTCCTGTGATGTTTGTCTGGAATAGAGCAGCTGTTGTCTAGAAGTTCTGTGCTTTGCTAGGCTGTCCCTCTTCTGGAACTTTGGCTAGACAGAGCAGGCTTTTGTTGAGTCTTTTCTTTTGAATCTTGCCCATTGATTGACATTTCTGGCTTGCTGACTTCTCCAGCATCCTGTCTGGGATATATGAAATAAACCAGCACCACCCACCAAAACACCAAAAACAACAACTCAGGTAACTTACCTCTGTGTTGTTTGTTGAATCCTGAGGTCCCTGGCCAGCCATTTTTCTCTCCACCTTTTAAAATCTTATGTTTATTTTATATATAATGTCCAGCATTTTTAGTTGGATTTAGTGAGAGGATTAGGAAGAAATGTGTCTACCCCATCTTGTCTTAACGTGGAAATTCCTGTTATTTTTTTCTAGTACTGGGAACCACATTTTATCTTTTTTTTCTTTAATTTTAATTTTACTTAACATCAATGCAATGTTGGTTTCAGGAGTAGAATTCAGTGATTCACCATTTACATACAGCACCCAGTACTCATCACAACAAGTGCCCTCCTTAATACCCATCTCTCATTTAGCCCATACCCCCACCCCCCTTGCCTCCAGCAACCCTCAGTTTGTTCTCTGTCATTAAGAGTCTCTTATGCTTTGTCTCCCTGTCTTCTCTTTCCACACCCCCTTCCCATATGTTCATCTGTATTGTTTCTTACATTCCACATATGAGTGAAATTGTATGGTATTTGTTTTTCTCTGACTGACTTATTTTGCTTAGCATAATACATTCTAGCTCCATCCACATCATTATAAATGGCAAGATTTCATTTTTGATGGCTGAATAATCCACTGTGTGTGTATATATATGAAAACACACACACACACACACACACACACACACCATATGTATATATGGTGTGTATATATATGTGTGTGTGTGTGTGTGTGTGTGTGTGTGTGTGTATACATATGTATATATACATACCACATCTTCATCCATCCAGTCTATGGACATTTGGGCTCTCTTTGTAGTTTGGCTGTTGTTGATAATGTTGCTATAAACATTTGGGTGCATGTACCCCTTTGAATCTTTATTTTTGTATCCTTTGGGTAACTACCTAATAGTGCATTTGATGGATTGTACCTATTATATTTTCTGATTTGTCACTTGTGTTTGGAAAATCTATTTCAATTTCTGTATTTTTGTACCTTTCCTGGTTCAGACTGCTATAATGCAAGCATAAAATGATTGGCTCATAACCACAAGAAACTTGTTTTCTATAGTTGTGGTGGGTGGAAGTTCAAGATCAAGGCACTAGCAAATTCTGTGGTGATGGCCTGTTCCTCCTTCACAGCTGTCTTCTCACTATGTGCTCACATGATGGAAAAGGTGAAGAGGCTTTCTGAAGTCTCTTATAGCTTATAAGTTATAAGCACTAATGCCATACATGAGTGCTGTACCCTACCCTTATGACTTAATCACCTCCAAATACCATCACACTCAGGGTTAAGTTACAACATGGGGATCTGGGTGGTGAAAGCAAGGGGGATACGGACAAACATCCAATGTATAGCAGCACCTAAATATTTTACTGAATTCTTACTCTCAAGATTGTCTTGAGTTTTAGTGCCAGCTGCCATTAGTAATTATTTGTTTTGCTTCTACTTGTTCTTTTTTTATTTTTTTATTTTTTTTAAAATTTTTTTAACATTTTATTTATTTTTGAGACAGGGAGAGACAGAGCATGAGCAGGGGAGGGTCAGAGAGAGGAAGACACAGAATCTGAAACAGGCTCCAGGCTCTGAGCTGGCAGCACAGAGCCCGACGTGGGGCTTGAACTCACGGACCGTGAGATCATGACCTGAGCCGAAGTCGGCCGCTTAACCAACTGAGCCACCCAGGCGCCCCTACTTTTTCTTTTTTTAAAAGAATCTTCTCATACCTTGTCTAATTTTTCATCACGAATAGACTTTGGAGCTCGTGTGTTTTCTCACCCTCTCTACATATTATTTTATGGTAGTGTTTTTGGCTTCTAAGCTATATGATTTCCCCCCTCTTTCTTAGGAATTTGATGAAATATATTAACTCAGAGGCAAATGGAGGCTTTTTACTGAAACTATTTCTGTTTGAAGATTCATTTGCGTTTACATGTGACGCTCTTAAAAGTGTGTGTGGTTGGGGCGGGGAAGTCACACTTCTTGCAGAGTCTCAGATTCCTGGAGGGCTGAAGCCAAAAGAGAATGTGCTGAATGGATCTCTCAGGCTTAGCGTGAGGAAGGGGCTGTCTGAGGCCCCCTATGAGTGTGCCAGCCCTCCCTGGATCAGACTTCACATGCTGAGCCTTCATTCCCCCCACATTCCAGAGCTCTCTTCTACCTTCAGCCCCTTGCAAATCCTCTTTTCTCTGCCCAGAATACTCTCCTCCAGATGCGTGTCTCAGCCTAGTTGTCCTCTTCTCGAGAGAGCTTTTAGTATCCAGTAACTCATCTTGCTAGTACACACCTGGTTCTCTAAAACAAAGACCCATGCTTCCTAGCACTGGTCACCCTTTGAAATGACCTTTCTTGTTTGCTTCTGCTACTCAAGTCTGTTTTTTTTTTTTTTCTCTTCCCTAAAATGTCAGTTCCTTGAAGGAAGGGACAGAGCTATATCCTCATTTGCTAGAACATGCCTGCAGTATAGTAGGTGCTCAGGAAACACTCGTGTAGTAGATAAATGAATGCGGATGCCTCACGGGAAACTAAACATGCCAAGGTGGTCCCTGCTGCCTGTCAAGTCACACACACCTCTATGGTTGTCTTTTCCAGAAATTAATTCCGTATCAGCTCGAGTCCTGCTCTCCCTGGTGGTTCCAGGCCATCTGATTTTCTTCTATATCATTTACTTGGTGGAAGGCCATTTGGTCCCACAAAGTAAGATGTTTGTGGTGTTCTATCTGCTAGCAAGTCTGATGCAGGTAAGGATGACTGTTAGTAGCATCAAAGCAGCATTCAGTGCTTAGTCATCCAGCAAGATTTATCTCCCTGAGCTGGGAAAGATGCTGAGGGGGTGAGGTTGGGGGGTTCCTGGACATGGCAGGGCATGGCCCCCATCTTCCAAGAATCAACATATTCAAGCTCAAGGGTGTGAACCAGACACAGAAGTCACACCACACTGCATTGCATGCATTCCACATTGCATACTGCACAGGGCACATTTCATACTGCAAGCAGCATGCTCCACAGTACACACAGCACACTGCACATGACACACTTTACACTGCACACTCGTTAATCTCCACTTCCCACAAGGCACCATCCATACTGCATATAGCACACTGCTCAATTATCACCAGGAGATCAGAGGATGGTCCTGAAGATACAGCAAGTTGCCATGAAGCAAGCTGATGTGTGGTTCTGGCTGGTGAACTGGGCCATGCACATCATTCATCACAGACAGGGTGGGCAGGGGCCAGGTCCCTGCTGGGATGTTGCTAAAACACATGCAAGGACTTTTAGTCAGTGCTGGGTGGTGATAAGGGCATGATGAAAGGTTAGGCTGGTGCCTGCCTGTGGCTAGTACTCAGCAGACTATCTGCCCAGACTAGTTGTCGGATGCCCCTGGTGGGCCTAGGGTGTCCACAGGGATAACGGTGGTCCTTGATGGGCACCGTTCTAGGAGGGCAATGCTAGAACTAGGGACTGATGTTTTCAAATCCTCTGAGTTAGGGCATTTGCAATTGCAGCATGTCCCTGATCATGAAGGATAGGGCGGGGTACTTTGAGAAACTGTCCCAAGGGGGACAGAGGGGCTGTGGTCAGCCTGTCACAAGACACTGAGGAGCTCTGAAGTGAGACCAGCACTGTGGTGCTTCCAGGGAAGGGTTACTCTCCAAAACTGCTCAAGTGAGGCCCTCTAGGGAACCCTATCTGAAGTCTGTGTCTTGAGTTTCTAAGGAAGGTGAGAGGAGCCTGTGTAGCAGAGACGATCTGTCTGCCACCTCAGGATGCTGCAAGCAGGTCCTGACGACAGGAGGGAGACTAGGCAAGTGTGGATGAGGGTGGACTTTCTGGCCTCTGCATGAGCTCAGAGCTAGGCATTGACCCCAAGAGAAGCTGGAGGAAGTCCAGCTGGGGTTGACATGGGGTTGACTCCCTGGGGTTGACATGTCCACCTTAGTATCTGCCTTTGAAATCTAGTGTTTCTTGGTGACATTTGGCTTTCTGACTTAGTTGTCATCTTTTGTGTCTGCTTGCTCTTATGACAGGTGACAATTCTGCTGTACCTGGCAGAAGTAATGGTTCGGCTCACGTGGCACCAGGCTCTGGATCCAGACAGCCACTGCATCCCCTACCTCACAGGGCTGGGGGACCTGCTAGGGACTGGCCTCCTGACACTCTGCTTCCTTATCAACTGGTTATTGAAGAGTGAAGCAGGGCTGGATGGCATCTCAGACCCAGCATCCGGGCCTCCCTAATGAGCCCAGGCAGCCATATTTGCTCAGTAGAATTTTCCTTCCCACCAGCAAGGTACAGAATACAGTTTCCCCCTGACTAGGTCCTCAGGAAGGATGGTTAACACCCTGATTCTGCAGTGACCCTTTGTCAGTCTTCCAGGGACACTCACACATCTTGACTCTGGAGTTGGAAGCTGAGTCTGTAAAGGTGAAGGAGACCTGAAATCAGAGGCAGTGTTTGTGTACATGTGACTGCATGCTCCTGGGCTTGAGTGTGTACTCATGTGCTGGGTGAGTGCAAATAAGTGCATGTGTGTGTGTGGAGAGCAGGGGACTCTGGCCTGAAGACGCTGAAGGAAGAGGCATGTCCAGTGCACTGGGGGGATGTGTGGGCAGTGTTCTGTGTCCACACAGCCTGTACTTGGAAGGAGCAGGAAAGAAACACTTTCTGTTTCTATACCTCAGGACTGTGCTGTGGCTTACCCACAGGCTGACTAGATCCAAGCTTCATGGGCTATTTTGCTGATGTGCCTGCAAATGTGCAACCCTTCCCAGGACAGCCCTTCCTTGCATACCCTTGTCATCTGCTCTTGGTATTTAATCCTGTCGCTATTTTTCTTTTTCTTTTTTTATGTTGAATCCAAACTTCTGTTTAGATTTTAGTGATCACAAAAGTATAAAATAAAACATAGATTATATTGTACTTGGCCTTTTGTGTCTTTAAAGGTAGTCAATGCAACCATGAGACTTGGGGTCTGTAAGTAACAAATACCTCTGGCATTTCTCTAGTGTCTATTTCTCAAACTGTGGTCTCTAGCAGAGAAGCATCAAAGTCAGGGAAACTTGTTAGACATGGAAGTTGTTAATCCTCCTTCCCCTGGGCCTGCCAATCAGCCTGTCTTGGGGTGGGGTCAGCAAGGTGGGTTTAACAAGCCCCATGTTGTTCTGATGCACTCTTACATTTGAGAAGCACTGCCCCAGAATGTCCTCACTTTTTAAAATAGATGTTTACTTCCTGTTTCTTATTCACTCATCATAACAACTTTAGCCATGATTTGGGTTGAGGATTATTATCTTCATATGGTGAAATAGGTATTTACTTATTCATGTCATCTTGGATGAAGACATGTGTGAGACAGGTCAACACTGGAGATGCATATAGTTCCTTGACTGAGGACATCACCAGGTATATACCCTCTTGCTAGAATGAGGGAAATTTATGGGATGAATTTTTCTGCCAGGTTGAGGTCAACATTGGGGAGGAATTTTTCTGTACAGAGGAGGTAAACATGAGGATTGAATACAGCTTTCACATTGAAATCATCACAGATGTATCCATGTGCAGGTCTGAGATCATCATCAGAGATGAACCCAGATGAGGTAAGGTTATCATTGGAAATGATCCCTAATGCGGGGCTGAAGTCAGCATCTGGGATGAATTTTCCTATGGGGTAAGGTCATCATAGGTGATGAACCCAGCTGCAGAACTGAGGGCACCATCAGGGATAAATCCAGGTGGTTCTCATAAGGACAGTCCTGCTGCAGCTTCAGTACTGAGGTCAACATCTGGCTGAATCTGGCTACAGTGTTGAAGTGGCCATCAGAATTAAATCCACACACAAAGCTGAGGAATTATTGGGTATAAATCTGGTTGTGGAGCTGAATATCTTAGTTGGGATGAATCTGGCTATGGGACTGAAGTTAGTAACTGGGTTAATTTTATCTATGGAGTTTTGATAAGAGTAAGGGGCAGGAAGTGGGTCAAGGTGAATATAAATTTAAGATTGAAGCCAAACTCAAGGTTCGGTTAAACCTCACATCCCAAAGCTGTACATGCTCTGGCTGATAGTGTCAAGGGCCTGAATCAGGCAGAAAGATAAAGTCAATTCCTTGGTCAAAGTCATGGTTGTTTAGATCCAACTTAATTCACAGATGTAGATATGGTCTGGACAATAGACAGGAAGACGATGAGGATTTGAATCAAGGTGAAAGTCAAGGTCAAATTCAACATCAGTATCAAGTTTAAGGTCAATTTATAGTTAAGGTCAAGATCAGTTCCAAGACCAGGAACATACAGATCATCCCTGATGTATGACGATTTGACTTCTGATTTTTCAACTTTACAGTGATGTGAAAACAATCTGCATTCAATGGAAACCGTACTTCACATTTTGAGTTTTGATCTTTTACTGGGCTCTTGGTATGGTATGATACTCTCTGGTGATGTGGGGCAGTTAGCAACAGCTGCAACTCTCTGTCAGCCAAGCAATTGTGGGGGCTAACAATTACTATCCTTACAGCCATTCTGTTTGTCACTTTCAGAAGAGTATTGAAATTATAGGAGATAGTCAATACTTTGTTATCTAATAGGCTTTGTGGGAAACGATTAAACTCTGATGTTTGATAGGTTAGGTGTATTCGATGCATTTTTCACTTATGTTTGACTTAAAATGGGTTTATTGGGATGTAACCCCATCATAAACTGAGGAGGATCTGTATTTAAGTTCACAATCATGGCTACACATGTCCTCGATGATTAGACAAAGAATTGGGTGTGAATCATGGACAAGGTCTAGATCAAGGTCAAATTCGTAGTTTGATCTAGATATTACCTTGAACAACAATCAGGAACCCGATGAGGAACTGAATTAAGGTCAAGGTCAATTTCATGGTCACTTTAAGGTCAAAGTCCTTATGGGTTAAGGATCAAGGGGTCAAGTTTGTGTTTGAAGTGAAACTTGATTAACATATTAGGGACAGATTTCATTGAGGTCAGCATCAAGGTCAAGTATAAGGTTAAGGTTAAGGTCATGTGTTAAGACCTAGACATAGTTCAAGGTTAATATCAAGGTCAATTTCAAGTTCATATTCTGGAGTAGACCTATACATGAGAGTCTGAAACAGGTGGTGGTCTTAATTATGAACAAAATCATGATAAAATTCAAGTTCAGGATCAAAAGTCAAGGTTAAGTTCCAATTCAAAGTCAAGATCGGGGTTAAAATCAAATTTATATTTAGAAGGTCTGGATGATAATCTGGGTCAGAATGTGTTCTAAACCAGGGTCGAGGTAAAGGCAGATTTCAATGTGCTAAGGTCATGTTAAAGGTGAACGACAGGAGGACTTGGGCAACACATAGTATGGATTATAATCAGGAGCAAAAAGTAAATCTGATTTAGTGTCAAGGTCAAGATCAAAGTAAAATTCAAGCTCAGATTCAAAGTCTGGGCCAAGTTCAAGACTAAGATCAGTTAAAAAGACAAATCAAACTAAACTTCACATCAGGGTCAACATTACAATAAGGTCAAAGTCCAAGTCCAGTTCAAGTTGTAGTTCACAGCCTGGGCTACGCATGATAAAGTGGCTTTGAATCAGGGTTTACATGAAAGTCAAGGAGACATTTAAAGTACAGGTCATCCTTGAGGCACCTGGGTGGCTAAATTGATTAAGCTTCTGACTCTTGGTTTCGGCTCAGGTCATAATCTCACTGTTTGTGAGATTGAGACTGCTTCTGGCTCTGTGCTCACAGCATGGAGTCTGTTGAGATTCTCTCTCTCCCTCTCTTCCACTCTCCTGCACTCACTCTCTCAATCTCTCTCTCAATCTCTATCTCTCTCTCTCTCAAATAAGTAAACTTAAAAAAAACACATTTTCCTGCCTTGTCAAAAATTAGTTGGCCATATATTTGTGGGTCCATTTCTGGGTTCTCTATTATATTCCATTGATCTATGTGTCTTGTTTTTGTGCCAATACCTTACTTGCTTGATGATTACACTTTATAATACAGCTTAAAGTCCGGAATTGTGATGCCTCCAGCTTTGGTTTTCTTTTTCAAGATTACTTTTCTTTTCAGGGTCTTTTGTGATTTTATACAAATTTTAGGATTTTTTTTTTTTCTAGCTCTGTGAAGAATTTTGATAGGAATTCCATTGAATGTGTCAATTGCTTTGCATAGTATTGACATTTTAACAATATTTGTTTCTCCAATCCACGAGCGTAAAATGTTTTGCCATTTCTTTGTGTCTTCTTCAATTTCTTTCATAAGCTTTCTATAGTTTTCATCAGACAGATCTTTACCTCTTTGGTTAGGTTTATTCCTAAGTATTTTATGGTTTAGGTGCAATTGTAAATGGGATAGATTCCTTGGTTTCTCTTTCTGCTACTTCATTATTGGTGTATAAACTTCTATATATTGATTTTATATCCTGTGCCTTTGCTGAATTCATGGATCAGCTCTAACAGTTTTTTGGCGGAGTCTTTCAGGTTTTCCATGTGGAGTATCATGTCATCTGTGAAGAGTGAAAGTTTGACTTCTTCCTTGCCAATTTGGATACCTTTTATTTCTTTTTTGTTGTCTGATTGCTCCAGCTAGGACTTCCAGCAGTATGTTGAAGAGCAGTGGTGAGAGTGGACATCCCTGTCGTGTTCCTGATCTTAGGGGAAATCTCTCAGTTTTTCCCCATTGAGCATGATATTAGCTGTGGGCCTTTCATATATGGCTTTTATGATATTGAAGTATGTTCCTTCTACCCCTACTTCCTTGAGGATTTTTATCAAGAAATGATGCTGTATTTTGTCAAATGCTTTTTCTGCATCTATTTTAAGGATCATATGGTTCTTATCCTATCTACTCATGTGGTGTATCACATTGATTGACTTGCAAATATTGAACCAGCCCTGCAGCCCAGAAATGAACCTCACTCAATCATAGTGAATAATTCTGTTAATGTACTGTTGAATTCAATTTGCTAGCATCTTGTTGAGAATTTCTGCATCCAAGTTCATCAGGGATATTGGCCTGTAATTCTCCTGTTTAGTGGGGTCATTGTCTGGTTCTGGAATCAAGGTAATGCTCCCTTCATAGAATGAGTTTAGAAGCTTTCCTTCAATTTCTATTGTTTGGAACAGTTTGAGAATAGATGTTAACTCTTTTTTTTTTGTAATTGTTATTAACATTTATTTATTGTTGACAGAGTATGAACAGGGGAGGGGCAGAGAGAGACACACACACAGAATCTGAAG